TACCCAAAAATATAAAATTCTACCTTGCAGAAAACAAAACATCACCCCGACTAGAATGCAAATATGCAGTAAAAACTGATGTTGAACAATCACAGATAAACAATCTACAACACTTCCCACTCTATTTAGATTGCCAAAATAATCACTACGAAGTTGATCTACTTGGAACATCAACTTTCAAACCAATTCCATACTCACAATGGATAAAAAATAACACCCAACAAAAAAGAGTAAAACAACACTCGCATAAAAAAGACCTTTTTCCATTAATTGAAAAAGAAAACCTAACTGATAAATTAAATTTATCAGGACCACAAACAAACGATTCAAAATACACAATAAATCAAGTATTTGACCTCCATGACCCACTTGATACAATCCCTTTATCTAAATTAGAAATAGAAAACATTTTTCTCCCCCCAACAGATAAAATTACAATTAATACCTTGAAACAATATCAAAATCTTGACCCAGTAATTAGACAACTAGAATCATGGCATAAATATAAAACTAAACCCGTCAAGGCAGATACAACTATTTTAGGAAATAAAACACTCCTCCGATATTTTCGAAAATTCAATAATACAACAATTAACGAAATCACAGACCTTCTAGAATACAAATTAAATGAATCTACAGTTCCCTGTCTCCCTCTAAGTATGATTCTTATAGCTTTTAATATTTCACATACACAAAACATTAAAGGACACTCTGGATCAGAGAAAACATATTCAAATTTCATACAAAACTTTTATTTTTCAAATGCACCAATTTGGATAAAAGTACTATGCAATGATTGTATAGTATGTCAGCTAAATAAACCTTATCCAAATCAAAAACAAATAGCACAAAAACAAGATTCTAAAGGACAAAGTTTGTACTTTAACCACCGTATTTCATTTGATACAAAAGGACCAATTTCACCCTCATCCGAAGAAAACTCCTACATTATGGTAATTGTTGACGCGTCTACACATTATGTAGCACTTAACCCAGTACCACATTGTAACGCATATTATGCTTACACAACACTATATGAACACTGGATAGCCAAATTCGGACTACCAGAAATTCTAGTTACAGATAACGGTACAGAATTCATAAATAATGAAATTATCACACTATGTCATCTATATAACATCAAACACAAACCACGTACATCTCACGCACCTTGGACAAACGGCTTAGTCGAAGGTATGAACCGTTCACTACAAGAATATCTTAGATGTATCATCAATGGAAATGATACAAGATATACCGAATGGTCAGCAGATGTAAAACTATTTCCCTTAGCATATAATTCACAAATCACGACAACTCTAGGAATGTCACCATATGAAATGGTTTTTAATCAAAAGCCACGCAAACCGATTATGTTTACAGCAAACTCTCATAAAAATGCACAAAGTTATTGTCAACCGAATAAAGAATCAATTTGTTACAACTTACCTTTACATACACACGATGAAGATCATTTTCATCACCCACAAATTCTTAAATTAGCCTCCGGTACACACACCAAATGGATTTTAAACAGAGATAAAAAACACAATGAAATTTACCAAAAAGTAACAAAAAAGTTGTTACAAAGACAAAACATTAATGAACAAATAAATTCACGCTTTACACCAGCCTCCGATTTAAAAATTGGAACATTTGTTTTAATACCCAATTTTAACACTCAAAAAGGAATCTCTAAAAAACTACAACCCCTTCGTAAAGGACCATACCAAATAATTGCCAAACCCGCTGATGTCACATATAAAATTACCGACTCAGACAAAAAAGAAATTGATCAACACCGAAACAACCTATTACCTTATTACCCAAAAGAGTACGCACTACGCGAACTAACTCAATTATATTCTTTCACAGGTTTAAAAGTTATTCAAAATTATCCACATACGGAAAATAAAACAAAGGAACAACATGACATTCACCTCGAAAACCAAAATAAAAAATCAACTACAACAAAAAACAATACAAAAAAGCTAGATCAGGTTCCATTTCCTTCGTTTTTATTCAAAAATAATCTTCAGAAAAATCAACAAGCATGGGGATTGATTTGTGTTTATTGTTGTTTGGTTGATGTTGATTCCTCACGTGCTAATTTCTGTTGCTCTAACATTTTGTTCTTGAACATCTTAATGTTGATTGGTACAAACTCATAGTTTGTATTTCAAAAAAATCGAAACCCACTTTTGTTTCAACTCATTGGAACATTTCAGCAACTTAGGAATTTTGGTGTTTTATTCAAAAATATGGCAGAAAACTTTGGTTTACCATATGATCACACGTATCGTTTTTTTGCAAGGTCAACATTATACATTTAACCAATTTTTGAAAATTTCAGTTTAGTAAGTCTTTGTTTTCTAAATCGTTCAAGTAAAGCTTCGTTTTTCAATATGTTGAGTTTAATTGATTTGCAAATAATATCATGTCAGTATGATTCACTGTACTTGTCAAATCGTTAATACGAAGCAAAAAGGAGTAGTTCTAATGCTGAAGGCATTTCAGAACTTAATTTTTCTATAACAGGATTTTTACTTATCAAAAATTACAAAATGTTTTCGATCGGACGGATACAAAATGAATGTCATGCATTTTTCTTGCAAGGCATATTCGGATCAAGTTTTTAATACTGTGCTGATTTCAATTATCCGGATTATAGGTGTGAAAATAAATCTGAACAAGGCGTTAATTTAAAAAAAAAACATCTCTCATTAGTCAAATTTAGTGTTTTTTGTACACAGTCCTGCCACATTCAACAGTAAAAAAATTCAAAAAACTGAAACAAAAAAGCTGCTACGTTTTTTATTGGTTTATTTTTGCTGCGTAAAAAATCCAAATTTTGGAATTTTCATCGATGTTTATAATTTTCAATTATGAAAAAAAAAACTAAGATTCCAAACCTACAGCCTGTGAAAAATGCCGTAAGCTGGAAAATGGATTTCTTTTGCAGAGCTAGAAAAAGTTGGTCGGCCAAAAAAAAACCCAATAGAGACTAAAATTATATTTATTTGATAGCAAAAAAAAAAACATATTTCGCGCCGTCTCAAATGCTTTGAAAAAAAATGGACCAGTTTTATACTTATCAGCCAGCAAAATTCAATCAACTTTGGTCAAGAAAGGACTGAGAGCCAGAGTCAGCGCCAAAAACCCAAAATCTGGCAAATCTGCTAAATATTGCAAATCTGCCAAATTTCAAATCACGTGAAACCCACATGATGGAAAATAGTTATCTTGACGAAACTTTCTAACAAGACAATGCCAGTTGCCATAATTTCAAGTTTTGAACAAACTTTTCCAGGAAAATGCTTTTCAAATTTTGGAAAATTGGCCCCCAGAATCTCATGACTTGAATACTTTTTAAATATAATTCTGGAAATTTATAGAATTGCATGAAACAGAGGATTCGTGAAAAAAAACCTACAATACCCTTATTGGTCCAGTTTTTGAAACCTTTTTGGCAATTCCGGACGATTACTTTCATCAGTTATATCGGAGCATTCCTCGTAGAATATAAGCAGTTCTAGAAATATTGCTTATCAAACCAAATACTAAATTTGTTATTTAACTTTTATCTAACTTTTATCTGTATTTGTTATTTACTTAGAAAAAAATAAACTTTTATTTAACTTTTATCTGTATTTGTTATTTACTTTGAAAAAAAAACTGTAAATGTTGAAAAAAGAGGCTATTTAGTTGTTAAAAATATTTAAAAAATTTTAGTTTTCACACCTTTTGTAGTATTTACAGTCAGAACTGTAGTATGTTGTGACTGATTGTATCGAACGCTTTTGATAAACCTGAAAAGATACCGTTCGCCTTCTTTTCCCTATCGTTGCAATCTATCCCTGCAATGTAATTTTTGTCTTCTCAATTCTCACTACGAAAAAACTGAGACAGATAGACTCCCTAAACGAGACAAAAACTTCTGCAGCATAGAGTACAAGACAAAATCTCCTGTCCAATACGACTTCAAAATTGTTTCTGATTTTTCCATCTTAAAAAATTTTCTTTCTTAACTCTTTTTTGTTCAAGTGAATGATATCTAACCTCACCAAGACAGGGCTCTGTAGTACGGATAAACGTGGAGGGGGGAGGTTGGCATGGGATCTATAGGTAGCTTTTTGTAATTTTTCATATGTCCGCTTGAAAATTGGAAAAAATGAACTTTAGCGAAAGAATAACTAACTTAAGTTTAACAATATTATGAAAAATTGAAAACACACACAAAAAGATTTAAGTAAATAGAGTATAATCCATTATAATCGACTAAAATTGATTATTTATCTTTGGATAAAAATTTTTGGAAATAAGTTGAAAATAATCGATTATAATGGATTATAATAGATTACATTGGGATTTTATTGCTTAAAAATAGTATCATTATAATCCATTTTTAATCGATTATATTCGATTATTTTTGTTATTTTATAGAGACTGACAATGAAAATCCGATAAAACTATCCACGAAACTTCAGTGCGGGTCAACTTGTAAATTGCAACGCACGTGTGATTTGAACGCGCACTCATAAGATTGCTGGGCACCATCATTACCGAGTCGCCACAACGACACTATTACCATTTGCAATCTAAAACTTGGTTTTTGGGCCTTTCCTTCTATGGCTCCAACCAGCGAACTTGAGCTCCCGGCTCTTTTCCAGTTCCCCCCACACATTGATTTTTTCTGAATTTCAATGGATGAAAGTCTATTTAACATGACTGTTGATGTTATAAAATGCAATAAAACAAGTCAGCGTGAACAGGTGAACAAACTTCTACAATATTTCTAACAACCAAATTGCCGTGTGAACAATTTATGAACGGCTTTGTTTTGTAATTTTACGAGGGATGTGGGAAACTGGAAAAGAGCCGAGCTCCCATTTTATCATAATAGTAAAATCAGCATGAAAGGGGTATAAACTTTTTGTAGACTGGGCACCTTAACGGGAAAGACCCATCCTTTCTTGATTAAAAAAAACAGCACAACTCACGTCTGGTTTTCGTGAACTCGTTGCCCTCCAAATCGAGAATTCTGAGTTTAGAGTTGACCTTGACCACTTCAGTGAGGGCAGACACACACTCGTACTTCATGTTGCAGCCATAGAGGAACAGCTTCTCTGAACAGAATAACGTGTGACATACCAACCAAATAGGCTCTTTTTCCTCACCCCTCCCCCCCCCCCCTCCCCCACCTCACACGAACATGAATTTTATGGTGTAACGAGTGGTTTTACAAGGTTAATTATGAAGATCAAATATGGGCTGTTTTTCCTTCCCCCCCCCCGCCTGCAATTTTTTACCTGTAAATTTGTTGACCACATTGTCCGATTGTTCTGAAAATTCACATGCAGACTGATAAGGCCACGACAAACATATTTGGTCTTCATACTCAACCTCATAAAACCACTCGTTACACTAATATATTGAAGCTCGTGTGAGGTGGGGGTGTCATACCGTCAAGTCCTCGAGGTATGAATTGTTAATTACTGAATCCGTATGGATAGATAATATCGAGCTTGAGAGAGAAGAAGTTAAAACAAAATACGTACGTAATATTTAATTATGCTCTGAACCGTAGTTTTCTTCAGACGACGTTCTCGTCCTTGTATCAAGGTCAATCGACCAGTACACATTAATGTTATATAATATCAAAACATAAAAGATATATAAATACATACGAAGTTTACTATGGAGTTTTATCTATCCATGCCGGATGACATTCCCCCTCCTCGGGAAAATTGGTAAAGTTTTGTTTGAGTTTTTAAGTCTCCGTAGGACTGTTAGGCTGGTTAATCATATCTCCCCTCTTGATTTTCCGTTGTTGTTGTCAGTGTTGTCATCTACTGTTCCGTGTTCTTCTTCGTTGCTTGGTTGTTCGTTTACTTGTACTTGTTTTGTTTCTTCAAAATCTTTCGATTTAACGCAAAATATGTCGTCGTTTTCCATCTTTTTGTCATCTGCCTCCGCTGGTGAAGTTAAATCTATTACATCGTTTATAGTGCTTGTTTTGTGTTTTGGGCTTATGGCCTGGATATATTGTACGCAAGCTTTGTATTCAGGAGTTTTTTTGTAAAATCTTATTTCCTGAATTAGAGATTTTAGGCTTGGCGTATTTTGTTTCGAATTTTCGAGTGGTGAATCGATCTCGAAGTGTTTCGTCCCGGTTGCGCTTGTGGTTTGTATTGCGTTGATTGGGATGGGGTTGCCTAGGGCTGTTGCTAATATCGCCTGTCGGGCTCTTGTTGACTTCCTTGTTGCAATCGCAGGCGGTGTTATTTTTTGATTTTGTCGCTTGGGTGAAGGTGAAGTGTTTTCCTCCGATGTAGATGACGAATCGTCTTCTTTTTCTTCGTTAGTTGTCTGTTCCATCTCCGTTTGGAGGCTCATTCCTCTCGGTGTTTGCAATTTTCGTGGGACTGGCTTTGCTTGTGCCCTGGCTCTGTGCTGCTTTCTCTTGAATTGATAGCTTGAGTGGGAGCCCCGTTCTGGTGTCCTCCTTGAACATGGGGTGTTGTGGAGGTTGCGGATCGTTTATGTCTAGAAAAACGTAAGCATGGTCCTGTTCTCCGTGCAGATTTGTAAGCAACATAATCGCTCAAACGGGAAGGTCTGCAAGGTCCGTATATTACTGGGTTAGGGACAAAAGCGGTACCGCTATTTCTTAGTAATCTTGGTTGTTTGCCGAAAGATTGTACCCAAGCAGTATGCGGTGACAAGGTTAAAATTTTTCCGTCTATGGTTTTGTATTTTTGTTCAAATGTTTTTGAGTTTTGGACTTTGGTTGCTAACCAAATGGTTTTTCGTGCCACTTGTTCTATGCGTTTTTGGATGTTTTTATCGACTGTTCGTTGCACTCCTTATATCTTAGATTAGGATTGTTCTGAATATGCACCTGTTTCTGGCTGTGTCGGTGAATGCCTATTTGTGAGTGTCCTCGGTATTGGTTTATGTGAACTATGTGTGGCTTCTCCTTCTTTCGAACCTGAACTTCATCCTCTGACCATCGTTCGAGGTCATGCATGACCTCTGCTGGCAACGGCGGCTTCGTAAGGTTCTTTCGATCTAAACATGCATGTTTTGCGCTCTCCCAGTTTAAGTTATTAGGTGAGCTATTTGTGGCTATGTTCGATAATGGAGTGTTTGGTTTTCTACCCATATGTGCTTCAAAAGGGGAAATTTTTGTGACACCGTGTGGTGTGATTCTTAATGTTTTTATTATTTCTGCGACATCTGAGGCTAACTTATATGGTGTAATTGTTTGGTCTATTCTAATTACCGCTAGTCTACGTTCAATTGTTTGGATCATACGTTCAACAACCCCTATAGCTCTGTGATCATCTACGGGCGCAAAAAGTATTTTCATGTTGTTTGACCTACAGAAAATTTAAAATTTTTTTGGTCGGAATGTTTGGGCTCGGTCGCACTTCAATCTACGCGGTTTCCCGTTGTTAAAAATATATCTTGCAAGAACATGATTGCAAAATCTGCTGTTGTGTTTGAAACAACTTTCGCTGTCGGGAACTTTGACCACTTATCTATTGCTACCAAAATATATGCGTCTTTATTTAATTCGTCCGGTAAGGGCCCCGCAAAGTCTAATTGAACTTGCTCATTAGTTTCGACCACCGGTTTCATTTGGAATGAAAATTTCTTGCCTAGAATGGGTTTCTTTTACCTTGCTCTGTGCAATGTTTACAGTTTTGTGCCATTTGCACAATTGAACGATGAACGTGCGGGAACCAGACATGTTGACTCAAATCCACCATAACTGCCGATTCCGGGTGGGTTAGGTGGAGACTATCAAGGATTGTCTGTCGTAGCTGTGAGGGAATTACGATTCTTTCGTCGACGAGGAGGCAGTCCTCTCGGACATGAAGGCGATTTCGGATGTTGAACCAATATTGTCCGTAGGAAGCTTTGATGGCATCCCAGTCCCGCTCTTTTACAAAGTTTATCAGTGGGCGCAAGTTTCTGTCTTTCTTAGTGGCTGCGGCGATGAATGGAATTCCCAGTAATTTTTGTAGTTTACGACGAAATAAGGGCGTGTCCTCCTCGGTTTCGGTGGCTTTCTCAACTGTGGCCACTATGGTGTCCATAATTTCTGTGTGGCTGGCCTCAACTTGTAACGAAGTTGTTCTCGTCGGTTCCATGTTAGGTGATGTTTCCTCTTTTAAACATACATTGGGATCCACGCGGTTGACCCATATCTCCTGTTCCATCGGATGGTCGTTTCCTGTGTTGTTACTTGTTTGTGTTGCTGTAGACAATTTCTCTGTTTCCACCTCGGTATTTGTCATTGTTAGTGTGGCTATGTTTGATCGAGCTGTTTGTGGCATAGCTGTTTGTGAACTGCACCCTTTCGTTACGGTAGATGTCGATGTTGGGCTGTTTCCAAAGATGATCTTTGGAATTTTTGTATGTTTCGATCCTGTGATCAAACCTCTTGCGTCGGTCACTTGTGCGGTTGGGTGGTATTGTGGTGATGATTTGGTTTTCTTCATCTGTTTGTCCTTGGTTGGTGGTCGCTTCTTCGGAAAAGCTTTCTTCTCGTTCTGATGTGTTTTTCCAGTCAACCGAAACTGTACGACCGCGTGGTTTTGTGGTTTTTATTTCTGCCGGGATGAATCCGCCTGCGAAGTTTTTCGTACGTTTTTTCCTCATTGTGTGAAATTCGATTGCGTTGATCAAAGTTTCGTTGATTTGAAGAATTTTTGAATGCGAGAGTGTTGACTGATTTTGACCAGAATGAAGTGTTGACTGATTTTGAGCAGAATTTGAGTTAGACTGAATTCTGGTTTTGGTTAACAATTGACTGTTGATGGAATGTTTGGAATGTTTAGTTGTTAATTGAGCGTTTGTTCTAGCATCTAATAGCCCTTTAATTTCCGCGCGCTTTTTGATCAGGTCACATGGTGCTTTGTTTTGATTGGCCAACTGATTTAGGATGTCAATCATTTCTAGGTTGTTTATGAATGTAATAATTGCCGCAACTACAATTTCCTCATCATACTCGCTGGGAGGGATGGGTAATCCAACCGAATTTCGTGACATATAGTCTATTAGGCCCATTTTACTCCCTGCGAGATGTTTAATATCAAAAGGGAATGGTAATATTCTATCAATCCAGCGGGTTAGACGGCTTTGACTTGTCTTTGATCGTTAGCTGGCGTTTAAAGCGCTGATTAAAGCTTGGTGATCAGTGATTACGGTAAAATGTTTTCCGTACAATTAGTATTTGAAGAGCTCAATTGCCCAAACGACTCCTAATAATTCTACTTTATTGACTGAATATTTTTCCTCAAGGGAGTTTAAAAAACGTGACGCGTATGCTATAGCCACCCAACCTTCTGCTGAATGTTGCTCTAAAGCCGCTCCTAGACCTGTGTTGGATGCATCACATACGATGCGAGTTTCTAAATATTGGTCAAAGTGTTTATTTTGTGTTATTTTTGCTACAAGTTGTAGAATGTTTTTAAAAGCTGAGTTGTGTTCGGGTAACGAATTGATAGGTCTGTTCTTTTCAGCGTTTTATAGTAATGGCCGCAGCGCTACGGCTGTTTGTGCTAGATATGGTATATATCTTGTAAGATGATGTATTGAACCCATGAAACCTTTAAGTTGCTTAAACGTTTTGGAGGGCGATAATTTTTCAATTGCCTCGGTTTTTTTTAGTTTAGTTCCCTCACTGTTTATTTTGTAGCCTAACCACTCAACTTCTTTTCATGGGTACTTACACTTGTCTAACGAAATTGAAAGATTCTCCTCTTCGAGTTTTGTTAGCACCGTTTGGAGTTTTTGACGATGTGTGTCGAGCGTTCCTTTTGTTACGACTAGAATTTCGTCGAAATATGCGTAAGTATTGCTGCAATTTGTGAGTGTTAGATCCACTGCTTTTTGAAACACTGCCGGAATATCCGTAAGGCCGTAAAATCCTGTTTGGAATTGGTATGTTCCTGTAGCATTTTCGCCAATGAGACTGAAGTTGCACTGTTCTCGTGTTGTTTTATCCAACGGGATTTGTGAATATGCGTATCGTAAATCAAGTGTAGTGAATAGTGTTTGGTTCGATTTGTCCCATTTAACTACTTGTGCGATATTATCCAGCAGGAAATCTATGTTTGGCATCTGATATTTGTTTTTGTGAATGTATTTGTTAATTTTTTTTTAATCTAGTGCTAGTTTAACCGTTTGGTCCTTTTTAACCGTGATAACTATTGGACTAATAAATTGTCTGTCTGAGCACTTATCGAGCTTGATAATATGTTTTTGATCAATCAACTTGTTGACCTCCACTTCAATTCTTTCTTGTAGATGTATGGGTATGCGTCTGCCCTTTTGTTGTATTGGTTCAAAATCTCTGTTGAATTGTGTTTTCATTACGTGATGTTTTGACTTTTCTATTCGTACGCATAGTTGTTGGAAATTATCCTTGACCCATTGTTTAATTTCATGGTTTGATTCGTCGCTTTGTTGTACTGTGAGTACCTTTTGGGTTGGTTTGTCCTGGATTAATTTTATGCCGATGCGTGGTAGAAGATTCCGTCCTAATATGTTGGCTTGGTGGTTGTCCACTATAATGAACGGAGCTTTTTGTACTTTCCACCCCTCCCCCCGACTCAACCGTTACTATTAATCTTCCTTTAGGATGAATATATTCGCCGTTGCAACACGCTAAATTTCTGGCTGTATCATCCGGTGGGATGTTTTTTAATACTGCCGATTGATCATTTTGTTGTAATCGTTGAGCGGTTTTTTAGTTTAGAAAGGACATCGGGCTGCCTGAATCAGCAATCGCGAATAGTTTTGTTGTATTCGTTCTCAATTTAACAATTTGACCATTCAAATTGTCTTCTGATATTGTTTTTGTGTCTTTAATCTCAAACGATTCCGATATTGCCATTACTGAAAAATCGTCTGTTTGGTAATTTTCCCAACCATTGTTTGTGGTGAAATCAGCATATGCCACCGGCTCGGCATCCGTCTGTGTGCTCTCTATTTCAGTTTCTTCTTGTTGTTCCTCGTTTGTATTGCCTAGGTAGTAGTCGTTTGTAGAACGCCAAACTTTTGCAAAATGTCAGCGTTTTGCGCATTTTGAACAAATTTTGTCTTTTGCCGGACAAGATTGTAAATGATTCGGACCATATTGATTTCCACACTTGAAACACTGTTTGAAATTTGTGTTTCGTTGCTGTTGATATTGTTGTCCCCTTGTGTTTTGTGATCCACGTGGATATGGTCGGCCGCGAAAACCTCCCCGGCCTCGTTGATTGTTTTGGTTGTACTGTTGATTTTGTCTGCCACGTGTATTAATATAGTGTATTGGTTCTTGTTTTGGGGTCGTAACTGTTTGACCTCCGATCGGATTTACTTTCATTGTGCGACTCGGTTTTTTTCCTTTTTCTCGTCGAATCGCGTATTCATATGCCTCCTGTGGGGTACGTGTGTGTGCTAACAACTCCTCCGAAATTTTTTCGTTGTTCATGTGAGCGGTAAACATGTCCCTTACCCGCTCGCTTTCTCGATCGCCGCAATCGGCCCGTTAAGCTAGTTCCACTAGGTCAGCATGAAAATGTTCTAAACTCTCCGTTTTTTTTGTTTTCGACAAATAAAATTATACCTCTCAAAAGCTATTATACGTGTCGTGACGAATATATCCTCCAAAACAGTCATGAATTGTTGCGTAGATACCGTTTGTAGCTGTAAATTAGGTCGTTTTTGTTGTATTTGGCGTGTTCCTTCAGCGCCGAGACACAAGAAAAGGTAGCGGCGTACTTTTGCGTCCGCTTCATCCCATGTGAATGAATTGCACAGAACTCCTCTTTCCCGCGCTTTTATCACGTGGTTTTCCCATCACACTCTTTTTTCTTGGTTGCGCACCTCGCGGTTTTTTCTTTGGGCATCCGTTTCACCAGTTATTTCGACCTCGTATACTGGCTCAGATGGCTCGACAAGTTGTGGGCAGGCTCGTAATAGGTTTCTAATTTCGATGCCGTCTTTGGCGAATACTGCCACTTCCAGTATGGCCGCCCGTTTTGTCCACTCTAGTGGAGGTTCGGCCGATGCTCGTTACCAAAAAGGATTTATGTTGAGTGGATTCTTCGAAAATCCTGCTGACTGTGCCATGTCATACCGTCAAGTCCTCGAGGTATGAACTGTTAATTACTGAATCCGTATGGATAGATAATATCGAGCTTGAGAGAGAAGAAGTTAAAACAACTTGTGTACGTAACATTTAATTATGCTCTGAACCGTAGTTCTCTACAGACGACGTTCTCGTCCTTGTATCAAGGTCAATCGACCAGTACACATTAATGTTATATAATATTAAAACATAAAAGCTATATAAATACATAAGAAGTTTACGGTGGAGTTTTATCTATCCATGCCGGATGACAGGGGGAAAAGGAAAAAGAGCCCAAATATGTTTGTCATATCCTAGGTAGTGGTTATATTTATACTTGAGAGCACGACGTGTTAGATAGCCAGTTAGATAGCAGACCAACAAAACCAAAAGCATCAATTATAGCTTTGGAATTGTACCATGATTGATGCCGATCATTGATGTCGATTGGCTTAAGCCTTCCATAAAAAACCTCCAACTTGCTTTTTTATCCAAAAAATGCCAGCGAAACTTTCAGCTCGACTATTTATTTTGGAGATTTGGCAACAGCTCTAAAATAAAAACGACTGAACTAAAAAAAAACAAATAATCGAGCTCCTGGAAAAAAATTTGTGGTTAAGAGAACAATGTATACTACTTGCACAGCAATCGGCAATTTGTTTTTTTTATTCGGAACAGTTTACCCAAATTGTTGGTCTTAATCAAAGCTTCCAGTATCCTCGGCCACATTTCATTCTTGCCCAGTTCGAGAACACGCAATTTCCTGCATGAAGTGATGAATCTGGAAAAAAATATATTTTGATTTCTGTGAGCGCAGTTGAGCACCCGCACCGATCGCCCACGTATCATCATCGATTATATTTTCATAATACGGTCAATATCTATAAAACTACAAAAAAATCGATTATAGTCTATTAAAAATGGATTATAATCCTAATGTTTTTAGGTCAATATAATACATTATAATAGATTAAAGTCTATTTAAAATCCAATCCTCATAAAATGACAAAAAAACAATTTCGTGCTCTGAATTTTACATTTTTGATAGATGATAAGGAATTATTTTTGTTTCGGGAATCCATTTTAATCGATTAGAATCCATGGGTGCAGTCAGAGATATTCCGAAACTGAATTCTTCTAAAAAAAAATTCCGAAATTGAAATTAACTTTTTGTGATAACTGGGGCATATCTTACACTTTATAAAACTTGAAAGAAAGGCAAAGCTATTTTTTAATGCGGATACATAGCTTTTTCAAAGTAAAAACTCAAACTGCAATTAAAAGACTGCATTCTTTTTTCTTGGACATGGCATTTTAAATTAATTCAACTTTTTTTTTATTTTACAAAAAACTATAATCATTTTTTCCCCACAATTCACAAATTATTATATTCATGATACTTTCATTCAAAAGTTCAATCTTTTGTTCATCTCAAGGCATGTTCTATATTCAATGAGAAAGCTATAGTGTTTTAAAAATTTTGAAACATCACGACCTTTGTCACTTGTGTATAATGTTGCAAACTTCAAGGTTTAAATTCGCTACAATAACGGATTATAATGACAATTTTTTTCTCAACATTTTTCAAATCTTTTATTCATGAAACTCCGGTACGAACACTGTAATTTACAATGAGAAACAACCATCAAAAAAACTTGAGCAATGTGAGAAAACTTGTCTCGAAATTTGTTATTGGTTCTGTTTTGATTTTTATTAAGAAGCCAAACTGTAAAATAGATAGTCGCACAATTTTTTGCCTGTATGTTCCTGGATTCCAGAGAAAAATCTTTAAACCTGTTCCAAAAGTGAATGGTTTCTGCGTAGAAAAATTCCGTGGATTCCGCCTACAAATAACTGTAACGTAAATTTTCTCAGCACAGTTAATTATTTGCAGATTCCGCAATGAGCGCATATAATTAGTTGTTCCAGATTCCGCAAATGTAAGCAGTTCCGCAAAAATAAAACGATTCCGCAAATTTATGCTAATTCTGCTTACAAATTACAGATTCCGCTTACAATTTGCGGAATCGGCTTGCACTTTGCGGATTCCGCCTAAAATTTGTGGATTCCTCGTACAATTGTGGATTCCGTAACAGCTTAAGTTTACTAAACACCTATTTTAATATTTTTTATGGATTCCTCAAACTGTTCTGGATTCCGCAAATTTTGTTGCGGATTCCGCAGAATTGCCTGTTTTGGAGCTGACTGAGCAATACAGTGTTTTAGCTAATTGTCGGTGGAACCCAAAACAGCAGAGAATATTTAAAAAAAATAGCAACGTTGCGGATTCTGCACCGATTCTATTTTTGGCCTGTTGCGGATTTTGCTTACAATTCACAAAATGCACAATTTGGCCTCATAATGTTGATGTTGTAGTAATTGTATCTTCTTGTATCTTTCTTTAACAACCAATAAAATTGCTTTCAGAGATGAAACGTACTCGACCGCTTTGACTTCTATAAAGGAGAAAGAATGCTAATGATACCAAAAGTTCTATAAAAAACTTCTGGAAAAAGTTCTAGAAAAAATATTCATTCAATTTTTTTTTTACAATTTTCACAAAATCCGCTCCTTCGTTGAGAAAAATTGGACTCGCCCCTGACTGTCAAACAAATTCTATAGTACTAAACACATTCGGCCAGTTTTTTAGTGCTACAGAATGTTTTTTGCATATTACATGAAAACTGTAAAATCAAGCAATATTTTGTCAAATCAAGCATGCAAAAATTCTCACTGCATCTACAATTCGAGATTTATCTTTCGAAGTACTAAAAATCAACTGATTTTCTCCAATTACTATAGAAATTCAGGTGCATGGAACCGTTGTGAATAAACCAGTCGATTTATGAGCAAAACGAACCAAATCTAAGCAGAAAATATCAACAAGTCGAAAAATGCGCCCATTGTGTTGAAGTTTGCTTAAGTTTTGTTGAAACTGTTGCCTAATTGATCTTATGACTTTTACATAATTAGCAGAAAAGAAAGCTGGTTTTTCTGGCAAAATATTGTGTCTATTTTGTCTTTTCAATTAATTAGATCTGGGGCTTTAAAGTTTTAAGAAAAAAATGTTTCATAGTTTGGGCTTCTCGTACGAGTCATTTTTTGGATTTTTGACACACATCCGCACATATACACAAGACACGAGAGAATTTTAATGCATAGATTGGCGGATAGACAGAGTATTCTCACTTTCTTAGCTGGCTTATATGGTAGCTGGTTGATACTTAGTCTGGCTTTTTTAACATCGTAAAATTACTTCAAGAAGGCATCTTGTATCTTGTTGCACATAACAATAACATCACTCCACTCTTTGTCATTCTCCGGATCCTCCGGTTCATCAAACAGACTTCTCTGTGGCACCATGGGGCGCACAAGTCCCACTTGTTTGAGGTATACTTTCTCCAGGTCTTTGGATTGGGCTAGGGCGTCAAAGAGCGATGCATGACTTGTGAATGAAGGGTTTCGGGAAAGATTCAACTCGGCAAGACCTGAAAAAAAAACTTATATATTGGACAAAGAAAAACTATAAGCTTGATAAATTGAAATCAATTCATAACAATTGTAGCCAGTTGCTTTGCAAGTAGCAGAGAAAGTTCCGACCACAAAATTTTTTAAAAAATAATCTTTTTTTTTTTGCAAATTGAATATTTTTTGTACCTTCGGCTAGAAGCGGATCTAAATGAAAGCCTGGGAACCAGAAAAAGTCGATATTAGGACTAAAAAACGCACATTTGATACAGTTTTAACCAAAAAACTAATATTAAAAAAAAATTTAAAAATCAAGACAATTTTGTAGCTTTGTTTTTCAAATAGTTTTTTTATTATTTTCGCATACTTTGTTGTCAAAAATCCCTTAAATATAACTTCAACAACTAAAAATCTTCCAGTGAAATTAATTTTAAAAGTTTTTTCCCTTTTATAGGCCTCTTTGCTTGTTCTATGAATATGATAAGTCAATCAACCCATTCTGATTATTATTCGAGCTACCTGATTCGGAAAACAAAAAAAGAATAAAAACTGAAACACACCGGGATACAAAACTCCTCGCCAATTGCGAAGGTCAAAACAAAACTCATTCCGTGCTGTCTATTATTTTCCCATTGGAATAAAAAATAAGCATAAATTCGGTGAGCCAAATCAGAGGATGCTAACGTTGCATTCATCAGCTTAAGAAAAATTAAGAGCTGCAAAAGGAAAAAACTATGTCTAAAAAAACAATAGTACTAGCAAAATATACAAATGATTATCATTCTTTCAAAATTCAAAAAATGGAATATTTTTTAACATGCTTATGCTTCAACATTTGCATTTTTATGTAAGTAATTCAAACGCTTTCAATACTGCTTCTAAACTAAACAAACTCAAATTTTTAAAAACTTTTAACCCACTCAGGGTTATCCGCCAACTTTTTCTCTCGCAGAAGAATCTACTTTACAGTTAAAATACAAATTCCTCAATTTTTGATCAGGAGACAAATATTGACGTTCGAGGGTACCATTTGTTTCACATTTTTACATCCCCATCAATACAAAATTTGCACAGCTTTTAGTGAACCTAATTGAAAATTCAAGTAGTCAAATTTAATAAAGAATGAGTTTGAGAATGGAAAAAAAGCAAACAAAATTGCGAATGTTCAAATTTGTTTGCTTTTCCATATCTGTGTAAAAAAAATAATTTTACTGTTTTTCGTTGTCAGTCTCTGTAAAATTTTGAAATAATATAATTAATCAACTTTGAATTTTTTTCTTTCTGCATTGCCTAGTTGGCATTTAATAGGTTTTAAATGTATCATACTTGCATTATTTTCTGTCTGATAGAGACTGACACTATGAATCGTATATTTTAAATTAATATTATTACCAGACTTATAATAAATTTTTTCAAATCATTAGCTTTGACTCTACTTTTTTTAAACTTTTCTTAGTTCTACGTCTCAAACTAACAGACTGAACACAGAAGCTAACTTGAAAATAAAAGGATGCGTTTATCATAGACAATATGGTTATGCACAAGTTTTGTCTCCAAAGTCTAATTTTCTAACAGCCGATCTACTCATTACCCAACGATGCCTAACTAGAATGATCGATATGGCAAAAATAATCAGATAAAAAATTGATAGGGTGTATATGAAAAAACTGTGAAAAAAGCCCAAAATATATAAAAGAAAATAAATTGAAAAAAAAAACAAATGATGTACAAAGCTGTGGCAAATAATAATTGTAAAAATCAGATTAATTGAACGTGAAGCTGAGAAACACTAAATCTGAACAATAACTGAATATGAACTTAAAAATTTTTATTTATAAACAATTTTCCGTTATTAGATCAATTGACTCGTTTTGAATTGATTTTTTGTTCCGACTTCAGACCAAAACGGAATACTTATGCTAGGGGCGGTGATTTTTATCCAGTTAATTTTTGGCGATCGAAATAAAATTTTATGACAAAAAATTTTTCAAGCCCTTTTGAAGATATTAACTCCCTGAAATCAAATATAAAAAGTTCATTTACCTCCAATAATTTTTTGCAAATTTCCATGCTCTGGCTTAAATTATGCGCGCTTGGAAGATTTTGTTGGTAATGCAGAAAGCGTAACACGAATTATTTATGCGTGGCGAATGATCCCGCACAACAAAATTGTTCCAAAATGAAGTGAGGCTAGCTTATCGGTCGTATTAATTTCGTCCGAAACACGTTTTGCACTAGTTCTTCACAATTTTTCAATACTTTTTTTCACGAAAAATTATTCAATATAGGCTAAGGGGCAGTCGGAACACTCAAAACTTTGTGCTCATATACAAGCAGTTTTGCTTAAATTTAAATTTAGTTTTGATTCTTGTTTCTTTATAAGTTCAGTTGTAACTTTGTATTTCCATACCGGTGTATTAGTTGACTTTTAGTTTATTAAGGTCATTTTTTTTAGTAGAATCAAGTTTCTTCAGCGTTTAACCAAGTGGTTATTTTGATTTAACTTGTTTGTGAAAAAAAATCTATACAAAAGTGATTCTATAATTCATAACTAGCACTTACTTTGGTTGTTGCGCATGACTTTATTGAGTGAAAAAAGACAACTGTCATCCAACTGAGTGTTGTAGAGTCCTAGCTTCTCTAGATTCCTACATACACACAGTGCTTGCAAGATATCCTCGCCTCCCTCAAAGTCATTCTGCGACAAGTCAATCACTCTGAAAAAAATACACTGAGAAGATTATAAAACTCCTAAGACTGGATTTGTTCTTTAAAAAAGGAAAAACGTTGTGGCAAAGTAGAGGTTCTCTTGGTCTTTCGAATCTTCAAGGAGCCTTAGAGATTCTAAAGTGTCTTTTTCAGTACAAAGGAAACAAACAAAAATGGTTTACAAGGGTCAGTAATATGTCATAATAGCTGTCGAGCCATTTGTTCTCATCTTAACTTTCCTTTCCTACTAAATTTATAAGCCTTAAAATTTTTACTGTAGCATTCAATCAATTGAACAACTGTTGCATAGTATCAATTTGTGATTTCCATCTGATCTATAAAATCGGAACTTGTCGTGGTGCACCGTGACTGATGTTCAACTAAGCAATAAAATAAGTGGTTTGAGCAAAAAATTGAAGAAAACAGGTATCGGTTAGAAGAGTGAAAGATGCTTGAATTAAGATGTTGCACAGTCAAAAAAAAGGTTTATGTTATAATGAAAAAAAGCTCCTAAATTGAATTTCAACATTTATATCAATTTCAATTCGTCAAGCAAAATGTTGAAGAAAACATGCACCGATTATAGGGAAAAAAGATGCTTGGAATAAATTTTGCACAGCCATAAATGGTTATGTAGTCAAGAAAAAAAAATCTTCAATAATTGGATGTTCAAATTTGTCTCAACTAATTGGTTCTTAGAATCTTTGCTAATTTTGGGGCTTTAACTGAAAACAAAAAACTCAAGTTGTTCGAAAATGCACGTATTCAATTTTAGAGATGTTTAAAAAAATTTACGAGACGAGTTATTAAACTTTTTGATTGATTTAGGAAAATTTGAGAAACAAAGAAAAACAAGGCGAAAAATCTATTAACTAGATGATGAGCTCTTCAAGGAGAACCGCAGTAGTTTCCTGTTTTAAAAAAGTACATGTAATTGATTGGCCATTTTTGTGGACTGACTAACGTTTCCTCATCTTCAAGCAACAAACAATTTCTCTATGTAGATTCAAGTTTTTATAATTATATTCCAGTGACGAGAAGACGAGAAAAAGCGCTTATGCTTTCACTCTTCAAAAAAAATTGGTAACGGAGACAGAATTTGAGGTTACTCGTGGTTTTAAAGAAAGCCAGGAAGTTTTTTGGAGACTTAACTTAATCTGTAACCAGTCCCAATCTCTCTCCTCTGAACAGAATGGAAAATATCGGAATTAAAATACAAACAACCTTGCTAGTTTGTTTAATTTTGGAATTGGTTTTGAAAAAACTGACTGGTTTTGCTTGTTGGTCGATAAAATGTTACTGAATGGTTTGATAGGTATTTTTTAAATATCTTTGTGGAAAAATTTGGTAACCATTTTTTTCAATTGGTGTATGTTGTGCTACTATATCATGGTTATAACGTATTTGCTTGCCACACAAATCGTTTAGAAACAAAAAAAAAGAGTCAGTAAAACGTGGAAGCATTGTGAAGCATACCCGGGTTGAGCTCTTATTGAAAACAAGCGATTGAAAAAATGAAAAAAAAACCAGCGATTGCCACCAATGAATTATCGATGTTCATCGCCACAATAGCAAATTTTATCGATAAATTATTGTTAATTTGGCTAATTTTCAGCGTGAAACAAAGATAACAAAAGTTATCGAATTAAATAAAAATGGTGCACGGGGTTCGTTCCCGCAATTATCATCTTTGTAGACATATATCTGCGCCATCAAGCCTTAAACGTACTCAAGCTATAACTCCACTATAACTCTAATTTGAAAACTACTAGAATTAGTAACATTTTAAGTTTTAGCGCTGATTTTCTACGAAATCATTACTGAAATAGCTCTGAAATATCGCATAGTTAACGGTGGGACTTCAACCAGGTTAAACTAAAAAACCAAATTTCTTTAAATACAAATTAAAGGAACCTGAAACTAATTTGTTGATTATTACAAATCATCGATAGTTTCAGCAGCTTTCAATCCTACTATTTTATAGAATTGGAATCTACAGTGGCCAAGTAACCAAAAAAAAAGCAAAGCGCAGTTCAAAACAAAACATAAGAACGACTAGGAAACAGGCTGATGTTTAGATTTCAATTTATATAGCTATTCGAGCTAAGCAAACACTACCACCTGATTTCAAGCAGAGGCGGATCTAGGATTTTCTCGAGGAGGACGTGTTTTCAAAAGCTTTCGAAAAGTTTGTGGAATTTTTTGCAATTTTTGGAAAACTTTGACGGAAAAATTGAGTTTTTTTCGGTGCACGATCCCCCTCAAAATTAGTATATATTGGCGCCAAAGGCACCTGAAGAAAGTTCTTTGGGGTCGTCGCAAAAAATGGACAATTCAAGATAGTACAAAAGTGACCCTTTGGGTTTCGGCCAGCAGGGGGTCGAATACCTGAAGGAAAAGAAGGCATCCGCCCACCCCTGCCTAACCCCTAAATCCGTCCTTGATTTCAAGCATCTTTTTTTTTAATTTAATGGATGGAATAAAAGGAATTCACTTTTTCAATTTTTTCTCTAATTTTATGGAATAAAGAATAAAGCATCTTTACTTTATATTTTTTTTCTTTATTTTTATGGAATAAACAGAACTTGATTAAAAAAGCAGTTTTCAATATGATTTTGAATGAGTAAGTAATAATGAAGCTCCCGTAGCTCAGTCGGTTAGAGCGCCGTACTTATAGACAGAATGAGCAATGCGGATGTCGGCAGTTCGAGCCTGCCCGGGAGCAGCAACCTTATTCCTTTTAAAATAAACTTGAACTCCGAGCTTGAGCGCTCGAGAAAATGAGTTCCGCTAGAAAACCCTAAAATGGTCACTGTCAAAGTATTACCTTTTCACTCATTTCAACACGTATTATTGTTGTCAAAAAGTAGTTTCAAATTACTAAACTAGAGAACACATTCATTTGAAAAAGAAAGAACTTCAAATTTTGTTTCACTTTTGAAAGACAAATGGTTGTCAAAATAAACTCAGTGAAACAAAGTGAAGCTTTCAGAAGTGAAACAAAATTTGAAGTTCTTTTTTTTCAAATGAATAGGTGTTGTCTATTGAATAAAAATGAATTATCGATGTTCATCGCCACAATAGCAAATTTTATCGATAAATTATTGTTAATTTGGCTAATTTTCAGCGTGAAACAAAGATAACAAAAGTTATCGAATTAAATAAAAATGGTGCACGGGGTTCGTTCCCGCAATTATCATCTTTGTAGACATATATCTGCGCCATCAAGCCTTAAATTTTATGGAATAAAGAATAAAGCATCTTTACTTTTTATTTTTTTTTCTTTATTTTTATGGAATAAACAGAACTTGATTAAAAAAGCAGTTTTCAATATGATTTTGAATGAGTAAGTAATAATGAAGCTCCCGTAGCTCAGTCGGTTAGAGCGCCGTACTTATAGACAGAATGAGCAATGCGGATGTCGGCAGTTCGAGCCTGCCCGGGAGCAGCAACCTTATTCCTTTTAAAATAAACTTGAACTCCGAGCTTGAGCGCTCGAGAAAATGAGTTCCGCTAGAAAACCCTAAAATGGTCACTGTCAAAGTATTACCTTTTCACTCATTTCAACACGTATTATTGTTGTCAAAAAGTAGTTTCAAATTACTAAAATAGAGAACACATTCATTTGAAAAAGAAAGAACTTCAAATTTTGTTTCACTTTTGAAAGACAAATGGTTGTCAAAATAAACTCAGTGAAACAAAGTGAAGCTTTCAGAAGTGAAACAAAATTTGAAGTTCTTTTTTTTTTTCAAATGAATAGGTGTTGTCTATTGAATACAAATGAATAGGTGTTCTATACAAAAGTTTTTTACAATTGTGATTGTGGCCTTACCTGAGGTTCTCATTCTGCTGAAGAATCTGCCTCAACGAGCTGCAATTCCTCTTCATAATCTGCGCATTATACAGATAGATTTCTTCCAGGGACCTGCAGTTAGATATGGCCATCAGCACTTCTGGGTTACCCTGGAACTGGTTGAAATTGAGACTGAGAACTTTCAGGGATTGAGAGACGCCTGTGCGGAAGAGAGTTTCGAACCCCCTTCCACAGAACCGAGAGAGCCAGCAGTGGTAGAGGTGCAGCTGCTCCAGTTTGCTAGTATCAACCAGTGTAACGTTAAATTCACTATTTAAATAATTAATAGAATATTTATTCAGTGTATAATCTAAGTTATAAACTAAAAATCAATCCATAACATCAATTCTGTGTAAAATGAAAACTATCCAAAACTCTCGGTTATCTTATATTGAACATATTTTCCGTCGCCCTCTTTCAAACGAAACTTGCTGTTCGGGGGATCCCCGATTTTTTTCTACATTACGAGGCAAAACTATCTTTTGGAGTAGTATGCGGATTCCGCGACAAACAATGAACATGTTTCTGTGTATAAAAGGTACAGCAGAACTCACAACGTGGTTAGCATGCTGGACTTAGCTTACCCCAAACAAGAGATACTCTTGAGTAGTTCATACTCCTTGGCACCTCCCAGGGTGTTATCAGACAGGTTGAGATGAGTTATCACTTGGTTGGAGAGGAACACCTCCTTCAACACTTCAATACATGTCTCACTCAAGCCACAGTTGCTGACGTCCAGATGGAGCAGGTAGTGCAGGTTCTTCAAGAGAGAGAGGAACTCAAGGGGCTCGGCAAAGTTGCAACCTAAAGTTGGACGCACTAGTCTTTTTTTCTGAAATCACCCCAGAAAGCGAAACAAAACGTTTGGATCTTTACAACCCCCTCTTATCAAATTTTAGCACCCGTCCTATAATAGCCAAAATAACAGTGTACAGTGCAGGGGGGCTTAATAATTTAGCTCATGTCGGGCAAACTAAGTATAGGGCAAATTTTCATTGGGCTAATTGTCCAAGAACTACTAATCTTGACACCCATAGAAGGATTTTGAAAATTTGGGTTCTTTACATTTATAACCCTCTTCTCTAATCAAACATCATACCCGAAATACGTAAATCGTTGCGGTCTGAGTGATTTTTGTTAGTAAGCTATTGCGGGTTTTCATGAGGAAAAAGAGCAAACTTGTTCCCCTCTTGCCAAATTAGCAACAAGTGAGGAAAATTTGGCTGTTTTCCTGTTTTGAAAAACAAGGTGTTGCAAAATAGTGGACAAAGGTCCGACTTGACTGAGCATAGTGTATTGTCAAAACTTTCCTGCTCCCGGGCAGGCTCGAACTGCCGACATCCGCATTGCTCAACCTGTCTATAAGTACGGCGCTCTAACCGACTGAGCTACGGGAGCTACATTGTAGAAAAAACAATTTTCGAATATTCCTTGTGATTTTGCATCAGCTAGTGATAACACCGATAGTTCTGATCCTGAGAAATGTGAAACATAAGATTCATGCTTCAGAACTTACTCAAATACTACCCAACTTTTTTGAAATGAAAACAAAGTTGAAATGAAAACAAGGGTAGCCGGTTGCTGTGCAAGTAACACAGAATGTTTCGACCACAGTTTTTAAAAAAAATAAAAAAATGTTTTCCCAAGTTGGTGTCTTTTTCTGCACGTTGTGGTAAAAAAAATCTGAACAAAAAATAATAACTTATTTGAGATTCATAGTATAATAGGTCAATTGCAAAAAAAAATTTGAAAAAAATTTCAAAATTGTTTTCAAAATACTTTGCGGAAATTTTTAAATTTTCAACTTCCCAAAATTAAGCTAAAAATCTATAAAAACCACCTTGACTTGAGTAAAATTAAGTTTTCAAGGCTCAAATTAAGCTTAAATAAGCTATTGCATTTACTAACAACCTACCTTACTAATTAGCTCGAAATTGGACCAAAAAGCAGTAAAAAATCAACCGGTTTTTCTCGAAATTGTGGATTTTTTTTGAAATTTTCTTATGTCAACCGAATTATAACTGAAAGGGCTTTAATTTGATATATCCCTCAACCCTGTCCAATAATTATTTGTGGCAGCTGATTTTGTGTGTAAAACAAAAAAAAACTAAAACACACCTGAAAACAAAGTTCCTCCACATTTTCAATGGTCCGAACAAAAATCTTTACCATCAATAACGACCTGTAACAAGTCAGCCGACCTCGTTAAACAAATTTTGAATTCTCTATTTTGTTTTTTTTTCCTGATAAAATTAAGAAAAATTGTTTGATTTCTTGAAAAAGATCGTTTCCTGAAAAAACATTGAGTTATATATTTCAGAGTATTGTGAACGTTTGTTGTTTGCTAGTTTTATTTCTATGTTTACAGTTTTAAGTTTAGGATGCACTTTAAGCAAGCAAAAAAAATCATTTTTTGACAAACTAATCTATTTTTTTTAATCTATTTCTATTCATATATCTTCAATATTTATATATCCTCAAACTCTCCTCAAGGTCACTTGAGGAGAGTTGTGTGTGGCAAATCACAATTTTAATGAGACATGTGTAATATTTTGTAACCTGAGGACTTTGCTCTAAAAAATAAATTTGTGGGGAAGTTCTTTAAAAACAATTTCAAACACGTTTAGCGCAATTTTGTAGAAAGAATCTAAAATTCTTTGGAAATTCATTTAAAAACAGTTAGTTTTCCGGTGTGGTTTTTGTATAGTACAGATTTCAGTAGTATTTTTTTACGATGGAACTAGGGCACTAAAAAGTAAACGACAAAAAAGACATTCGAGTTTCGCTTCTATTGTTTTACTGATATTAGTTGACAGGCGTACAAAATTAGTATATACTCCGTATATAATATGTAACTAATTTTTATAACATCTGTATATAATCTGTTCATAATATGTATATAACCTGTAAATAATCTCCCGGGTTGACCTCCATGGACCGAAAATGCTAATCATACAGTTTCACACACTTAGTCTATGGAAAAATGCTAGTCATACAAAAATTTCATACCTTTTTGCAAAATGAGTTTAATCAAATTTCACAGGTGTTATATAGTTGTTTTGGTATCGAAATTGGTATCTCTTCATTAAAAAAAGGAAAAAAATGCTACCCATACAACTTCCATATATGGAAATTGTATGATTAGATTTTTTTTTTAAATTTTTTTTGTGAAGAAAAAAGCTTTGAACAATCAATTCAACTGCTGGCAAAACATTTAAGCGTTTTTTGGGCTGCTACGACTGAAAACTTTGACTTTTTTTATTTTTGTTTTCCGAAAAAAAACACTAGTCATACAATTTCCAAATATGGAAATTGTATGACTAGCATTTTTTTGATGGTGACGACAAAATTTTTTTTGAAATTGCCCCCAAAAATTTTTTGTGTTTTTTTTTCAACTGCAAATTGATTTTCGTATTCAAACAAACATTTTTTGAAAAAAAAAATTTGCATGCAAAATGTAATTTTTTGTGTGTATAACGTAGTCCTGGATATACTAATATTGGATTTTTTTCCTTTTCTCTTCGTAACTTTTTTCAAAAACGCTTAAAACTCCTCTTTCTTTTGTATGACATGTTTTTGTATGCCTTGATCGATGTCTGGTAATTTAAACATTCAAATTTTAGAAATAATCATCTTTGCAAATTATTGCCAACATTTAAAAGTTCACTACTTTCGTTATGTTAATTGTCCGAGACAGAAGTAACACATATCAGGCTGTTTCCAATGCATTGTTAATGCGAGACGGCCAAACCGTTTGTTACTACATTTGAGTAATCAAGGTTCATGTCATTTGTGTTCGGTTACCAACACAGCCAAAAATTAATGAGAAATTAAAATGCAAAAAATCAATATTTTTGGTTTATGGGAAAATGCTAGTTATACAATTTCCATATATGAAAAAAAAAACTAATCATAGACCTTTCATGCAATTTTCTGTACGTATGGAATTGCATGGAAAGTGTATGTTTAGCATTTTTACATATATTGAAATTGTATGACTAGTATTTTTGGTCATCCCGGGCTGTATTACCTGCATATAATCGGTATAGTTTCCTGACAAATCTATGTACAATTTTTATACATTGTGTCTCAAAGATTTTGATAGCTTGTATAATGTGGGTACCAAAAGTAAATCAAAAATAAACTTTAAAAACTATAGAATCAATTACGGCAAACATACATGCAATTAATTAAATTCAGTTTCCGTGTCTGTACAAAACAGTCCCATACAAAACAGTTCCAAAAATAGTCCAAAAAATAGTCCAAAAAACAGTCCCATTGATCGAAGTGATAATTGTTCTAGAAGCTGATAAGTAAATTTATCTCATATTAAACACATTTTGATACTAACTAATCCGGATAACAATAGGTAGTATAGTAGAGAAATTAGAACAACCTAGATAACAGCAGCGGCCACTCAATGAGAGCAATAATCTTCGAAACATTAAAGTTAACGCAATTTAAGAAAGTGGACTCTTTTTTTAATCTAAGCAAAAAGAGACAGGTTGTTCAATCTGTTTCATTTGCAAACACTTGACAACACTCAATAGAAACGAAATTCACTATCTATCGATGGAAATCATACTTACAAACAAAAATTCTGAGTTACTGATTTTTGAAGGGAATGCTTATATTAAACACAGAACACTGGCAGACAACTCCCTTTCCTGACGCTGCGGACAAAGTAGCTGCAATGGCCGTGTGCGTACAAAGGACGACTCCGTTGAGATCGTTAAAGATCACTGCCACTTCCCCGATCCAGCTGACATCAAAAAACGTAAGTTCAGAAAAACACTTAAAGATCGAGCAGCAGTATCCGATGTAACACCGCGACAGACTATTTTCGCAGCCCAACGTGATGTGAACCGAGAAACAGCTGTTCATTTACCTAGTTATTCTGCTAATCAGCAAGCTGTAAATAGAGTTCGACGCGAAAAAAGACCAAAGATGGCAGAGCCAACATCGCTGACTGGCTTTGAACTACCACTGGCTCTACAGAAAACCCACGATGGAGAGCAGTTCCTTTTTCACGATTCTGGTCCCCAAGATGAAAATCGGGTTATTGTGTTTGCCACGTTACCTGGATTAGACTTACTATCTTTATCGGATGATTGGTTCTGTGATGGAACGTTTTCGACTGCTCCCAATGTTTTCTATCAGATTTATACTATACACGCTTCTGTTGAAGGATGCCTTATTCCTATTGTTTACGCTCTGCTACCCGACAAAAAGGAATCAACTTATTGTCGCCTTCTCAGTATTCTTAAAGTTGATTCCCCAAAGCGCGTCACAATTGATTTTGAAGTAGCTGTGCGAAACTCAATAATAGCTACCCATCAGAGTGCTCAAATTCAGTTTTGTTTTTTCCATATGAGTCAAAGTGTCTGGCGACATGTTCAGTCGTCAGGCAATACTCACAATTACAACAATGACCTTAATTTTCGCGAACTTATTCGAATGCTTCTCGCAACAGCATTTCTACCCGTAGAGGACGTCCCCACAGCTTTCGAGCTTCTGCAAGGTATGGCATCTGAAGAAAGTCAACCGATTTTCAATTATTTCGAGGACACATATATTGATAGACTGAATTCTCAAGGACGACAGAAGCCCAGATTTGATATGGAGCAATGGAGTTGCCATCAAAGAGTAAAAAACGACCTTCCCCGCACCAACAAAGCTGTAGAAGGTTGGAACAGCAACTTCGTGAAACTGGTCAATAGTAAGCATCCATCATTCCCAAAACTGATCGAGAAGTTCCAGGACGAGCAAAAAAACGCGGAAATACTGTTGGAAAAAATGTGCGCAGGACAAAAAGTAGCCAGACCCAAAAAAGCTAAATACCAAAAACTCGACAAAAACTTAATCACTATGATTAAGTCATATCAACCCAACGATATCATTGGGTTTTTGAAAGGATGCAGTTATAATATTAAATTATAATCAGATTTTTCTTTTCTTTTTATCTTTCACATTTATTCCATATTGCCAAGCAATAAAATTTTTCCAAGTTAATTAATTTCCTTGATTTTTCAAAATTGAGCTAGAGTCGATTTGAAACCGGCAAAATAATGAATACATACAAGGTGTTGATTTTTCTTTTCCCTCCGCCCAACCCTCTAAGGTTGAACCCTTTGTTGTACCCTAGATATACCCGTTATCATATTTACCCAAATTTCAATTTTTTTCGGAAAATTAGAAAAAAAATTTCTAATCCTTTGATCTCTAGAGTTTGAGACTAACGCTTTAACCACTATACCATGAGTCCTTTGATTTTCATCCAAATTATTGTTCCAAATTTGGCTCTTTGATCTTTAATTGCCCCTGTTTGAGTTTTCAAAGCGTAGATCAATTCTGTCGGCGCCAAAAGATCAAGGTCATGAAATTCAACTGGTTTTGGACTGTTTTGTATGGGACTGTTTTTTAGAACCTTTTTTTGATGTTTCGGACTCTTTTGTATGGGACTGTTTTGTATGGGACTGTTTTGTATATGCACCTCAATTTCATGATTGAAAAAATTCAACGGTGTTTCAAAAAGTTATCTTTTTTCGTAAATGTAAACTTTAAATGCGATAATCGATTGCAATTTTAAGTTTGAAAATGAGGGTCTGTTCATAAGTACTGCACTCTACTCAACTGAACTACGGGCGCTGACACGGGCGTACCTTAAGAAAGCTTTAATACGCCTAAAACCTTCAAGGATTCGACCCCCTCGCCAACTAAATGTTTTTCCTTTGGCAATAAATCTGACTTCTGTGTTCAAGTTTTCTGAAGGCGCCTTTGGTGCCACTTTTTATTAATTTTGAA